GAAATCGCCCGCCGTCTGCCGGGCTCTCTGCTCCCGGGGTGCTGAGCTTCACGAGAAAGACGGCGAGCCCCCGCGCCCACCGGGGGAGCCACGAAGGCAACGTGCTCGTCGGGGCCGGCGCGTAACGAAGCCCGGGTGCGGGGAGGGCAGAAACACCGAGAACAAGCCTTAGATATTTAAGCAATAACCATTGTAATAAAATTGGGGTTTTTTTTCTAGTAATTACCTCTTGTTCCCTTCCTTCCAACGCTACCAGTGCCGTTCCTTAGACCACCAACCTCCCAGCCAGGGAGGGAAAACGCGGGACGACGCAGGGGATGAGCGAGGAACGGTGCCGGAGCGGCTGAGGCAGGAGAGCCCCGCGCAAACGGGTCCCTTAGGAAAGGGGAAAGCAGGGAAGAGGAGTTAGAAGACGGTCCTGCGAGAGGGTGAAAGGCTTTATCGACAAAAAAAATCACGAGGAAATTGGCGTAAGGATGCCAGGAGGGCATAAAAAGATCAATGGAAAGCGTCAGCTGGATGCCCCGTCATTTCCGAAAGCAACCACGGCCGTGAGCCCGCGTGCGATGGATCAGATTTTATTACTGTAATTAACCAGAGCCAGGGAATTGTTCCCATCAAACCCCGCAAGCGTTTGCCGTGTCCTAGTCCATTAGTAACCGGTCCTTATAAATAACTTAGAGGGTTTGGAGTATAAAGTGCTGAGCAAAGCAAATCCCATTGCCGTTAACTCGCCGCTCCCTCCCTTACCTAGTGTTTCCTGAGAAGGGGGACGGGAGGAAGGCTAGAGCCTGCAGCACCCCAAATAACCCCCCTGTTCCCCCCCCCCAAAATAACCGCCCCGCTCCCCCGGAGAGGCCGGGGATACAGGAGGCTGCGGAGCCCCAGCGTTTCAGGGAGCTGGGCGGGAGGCACCGATTCCCGTTCCTCCCCGTGACCCGAGGCTCGCGGCCCCAGGCGTCGTCCCAGCCCGGCTGACATCCAACCCGCAGGTAATACCCAGGCGTTGGACGCCGGGGAGCTACCAGAACCCCCACGCCCTCGGGGGGACGGCGCACAGGCGGGGAGTGGCTCCCGGGCTGGAGAGGAGCAGCGGCAGCAAAGAGGCTTTTGCTCCCCGGCGAGCTGGGAGCACCCGGACGCGACGGAGTCGGGAAATGGCCTCTGCTTCGGAGCGGAGAGAGCGCTGGGGGAAGCCTGACCTGGCAGCCGGCTGGGAAAGGCTCCAGTTGTGGAAGTTATCCCGCACCGGCGTAAAACCACAGAGAGATCTCAAGGCCTGGCCCGCCCGAGGGGCGAACTACCTGCTCCGCCCCGCCGCCATCCGCTTGGAGTCACCCGCAAGCCGGGCCGGCTCTGCCTCCCGCCTC